ATTATGACAAAACATTTTATATTTGCATAGAATAGAAACACAAAGCCATGGCATATTGGACAGTTCTACTGAACCTTTTTTTTTTGTTTTTTTGTTTTGGACTAGGTAAAACATACAAAGCAGATCACAGTGAAAACAAATCAGAAACAGCACACATAAATTTTACAGAAGAGGTAAGGGATTGCAGAGAGATTGCAACATCCAAGCAGCCAATATCAACATATTTTCAAATCAAGTCCCTAGTGTCCAGCAAATCATCACGCAAATTTCTGAAATCCAACAATAAACAAACAGAAAGAGCTGGAGTTGTATTTCGATCTTGGCATGAAGATGCTGTCTAACGTGGTTCCCCACCATCATCCCAAACAGAATCTGCTGCTATTACTACTAAATAGAAAAAGTGCTGAATTGACACCAGAGCTTTCTATTTACACTTATAACATGACTATCTAATAAATGGAGAAGAAATGGGTGGTTTGGGGTGACTTCTGGCCAAAATTACCATTTTACCATAAAGTTGTCTGGTGGCTTTGTGAATTTCTTTGTTTCTTAAAGTATAGATGAGGGGATTGACCAAAGGTGTCATCACTGTATAGAAAATGGAGAATATTTTATTGAGATGTGTCAGAGTGGGGGAGTCTGGCAACACATAGACAACGATTATCGTGCCATAATAAAGGCAAACTACCATGAGATGAGAAGAGCAGGTTGAAAAGGCTTTTTGCCTCCCAAAGGTGGATTTGATTTTGATGATGGTGCCAATGATGCATATATAGGAGATGAGGGTCAGCAGAAAGGGAGGAATTACAAAAACAAAGCTCAGGAAAAATGTGATGATTTCAAGGAGACTTGTGTCAGTACAGGACAGTTTTTCTAGTGGATGGAAGTCACAAAAGTAATGGTCTATGACATTAGAGCCACAGAAGGATAATTGAGCCACAAGAGCCACCGGAATAGCATTACATATCAAACTATTTAGCCATGTCACAGCCATAAGTTGGAAACAGAATTTCTTATTCATAATAGAAGCATAGAGCAAAGGTCTACAAATTGCTAAATAGCGGTCATAAGACATGGCAGCCAAAAGATAGGTTTCTGTACCTGTGCAAAGGCTAAAAAAATGATATTGGGCTATGCATTCACTCACAGTAATAGTTCTCTCACCAGTCAGCAAGTTGGCTAACATTTTGAGCAAGATGTTAGTGCTATAGCAAGTGTCCAAGCAAGTCAAATTTGCCAGAAACAAATACATTGGGGTGTGAAGATGCTGATCAGCCACAATTAGCAGAAGGATGAGAAGGTTTCCAGTTATTGTAATCAGATAAATCAGCAAGAAGAACCCAGAAAGGAGAGGCTGTAGCTCAGGGAAAATTCCCAAACCCAGAAGGATAAATCCCCTAATGCCTGTTTGGTTTCTTTTTTCGATATCCAGGATCTCCTCCATTCGTGAAATGTCATATCAGTGCTAGAATTATAAGAAAGAAAAAACATTTTCAACTCTAGAATTCTGAAGCTTTTTTTTTTCGAGAAGGAGAAGGACGAAGAGAAGGAGAAGGAGAAGGAGAAGGAGAAGGAGAAGGAGAAGGAGAAGGAGAAGGAGAAGGAGAAGGAGAAGGAGAAGGAGATCCAGCACATGTGGATAGCTAATGTAGCAGGAAATGTTATTTTGCCTGGAATAATACAACTCTAAGCAGCATTAAAAACCCTTTGTTCTTTTCTTTTGTGATGTGATGAGATACTTACAGTATGAAAACCATGCAGTATAGTTCAGGGGATCAAGTCATTCCTGTTCTCCTGCCTCACCCAACCAACCAAATCTACTCTCTACATATTGTATTAGATTCTGTCGTTGCATATTTGGCTGTCTCTCCATACCCTTAACAGTATTCATCATCATCATCATCATCATCATCATCATCATCATCATCATCATCATCATCATCATCATCATCATCATCATCATCATCATCATCATCATCATCATCATCATCATCATCATCATCATCATCATCATCATCATCATCATCATCATCATCATCATCATCATCATCATCATCATCATCATCATCATCATCATCATCATCATCATCATCATCATCATCATCATCATCATCATCATCATCATCATCATCATCATCATCATCATCATCATCATCATCATCATCATCATCATCATCATCATCATCATCATCATCATCATCATCATCATCATCATCATCATCATCATCATCATCATCATCATCATCATCATCATCATCATGAAGAAGAAGAAGAAGAAGAAGAAGAAGAGGAGCAGCAGCAGCAGCAGCAGCAGCAGCAGCAGCAGCAGCAGCAGCAGCAGCTTATTCTAAACAAAGTTGCTCATTGTATCAAATACAAAAACTGCCTTCTGAGATCAGGGTGAATCAAAATGAAAGCATCTTATGTCTTAGCATTGCCCAATGTTGTTATGCAAATGAATGCCATGAAAGAGGGCATCATTCTCACAAAATATATAATACTTTTAATTGGAATTTACCTGCAGCACATATAGTCATATAGTCATACATGTTCCATGATTCAATAGATTTATTCCTCCAAATTATTCCTGAACAATCTGTACTCTAAAATAGCTTTCCATAAACATTTAAAATAATTAATCCTGGGAGATGCGGTGCTGATTTTCTGGTTTTCTGATGCAACCAGATTTTGAATCCCAAAGGAGATCCTAACACCCACTTTAAAACTTTTCAAAAGATTTATCCTCAAAGCCATTAGGATCAAATTCATACACAGATCAAAGTAATGTATGATACTTACTGATCGAATGCTGGATGCTGAAGATGAAGAGTGCTTGTTCCAAGGTATCCACAGGAATAGTGAAGGAGAGGAATCAAGCTGGTAGCTGCAACAGAATGATGGAACACCTGCCTCTTTTTTAAAGTGTGTCACAACAGATGTGAAAAGGGTGTGGCACTTTGATTGCATAGTCACAGCCAGCATCTTGCCTATTTCAGCACACACACCCCTTGCAGACACCACTGTCTTGTTCATTCTCCCCTGGAAAAGACAAGAACTGCAGACCTTCCTTTTATCTAAATGAGGAGGCCTGCCTATAAAGCAAGAACATTCTGTGTTTCCAGGCTATGATTGCTAGATAGTATACTTGCAAGCTATTTCTTTTTATTCTCTTGGAATTTTCTTATTTTTCCTTTGGAATTTTCTGTGAATCAGAAAGTTCCTTATTTCCCCTTGAAATCTCCACTGAATTTTGGTCATCAATCAACAGTAATAAGACATAAAGACAGAGGAATGAACCTTTAACCTAGAATGCCACTGGAGAAAGTTAAAGGTCAAATCCACCCAAACACAGGCAAGCCCACATATCGGCCTATGTTGTGTTGATGAAGGTGGAAAAACACTATTATTTTTATGCCCTTATTGCATCTGCATAATGGCTTCTGGTGGCCTTTTTTATAAGATGAGCAGCTACTGTGAAGAATGTTCTAGGCATTTGATGTACAATTGCTCAGATCCATTCTAAATTTGACATTAACTGGGTAGGTGTAAAGTCCTGGTTGCCTAAGAAGAGTTAAAGCCAATGAGTTTCAAACAAGTGAGTGGGGTTCTTGTGGTTGTTACCAACTGTATGTTAGACCTTTATCTCTCCTTGCTGGTCAAGGTCATCCAGGAATTGACTTGAACCTGGCTTCAGATGGTAGGAAATTCATACTTGCATGAGGAGGTAGTCTCCCACTTCTATTCAACACTTCCAGAAGGCCATTGGGTGATATAGTCAGGTATCCTATGCAGATGATACCCAGTTTTATATCTCAACCTCTGGCTGGAGAAGTGATGCCGTGAAGGTCTTATCTGGGTACCTGGAGCCTGTAAGGGTCTGAATAGAGAGAAACAGATTCAGCTAAACCCTAGTGTGGCTGTAGATACAAGGATACAAGGAACTTCTGTGTTCAGGGATTTTCTAATATTTGTCTTTGATGGGTAACACTAACCCAGGTGAAACTTATGGGGGTCTTCCTTGACTCATGACTCTTGCCCAATGAGAAAATGGTAGCTATAGTCAAGAGATATGCAGATGTTATAATGGTAGGCATGTGCAAGGAGGATACTGGAATGGAGGATCAAGGTTATCAGGAGGGAGGGGGAGCATTCCTGGAGAGGTTACAGAGCAAGCGCGTCCTCAGCCTGCAGTAGGACCATGAAAAGATAAAGAGGCTGAAACTGGCCCCTCCCTAGAGTCCCACAGGGTACAGCCACTAGTTACTTTAGCATAAGTTTAGTCTGCTGAGATTCTATTAGGTGCAAGCTAATAAAGGAACTATACTGGACTGGACTGCCTCATTGTTGTTCTTCATCTGGCCCTGACAGATGCACAGATACATCTACTATGGCAATTACATCATTTTTTGGATTGGAAGGTTATTCTGTTGGTCATTCACACCTTAGGTTCCTTTGGATTACTACAATATGCCTTATATGGGGTTGACCTGAAGGCCATGCAGAAGTTACCGCTGCCTCAGAATGCAGTAGCAAAATCTCAATGGGTACATCCTCTCTTGTCCATGTGACTCCTATATTTCATGAGTTTCACTTCTTACCATTTGGCTTCCAGGGGCAATTCAAGATATTGGTTATCATCTATGAAACCCTTCATGGCTTGGAGTCTGGATAACTGCAGGACTACCTTTTTTCCAATTGTGTTTGCCAATCTGATAAGACCTGGCAGGATTTACATGGTTTATAGTCCATAAGCAAAGTAGTGTCATCTTACAGGACCCTGGCAGTGGGCCTTCTTTGTGGTCAGTTTCACCCCTTAGATTATCATTCCCCATGCACTGATGATGTTACCTAGCAAAGTAATGAAATTTCTGCAAGTAAAACAAATCTCAGAGAATGCTAAGAACCCAACAATATTTATCTTTATTTTGCTATCTTCAATCAACCCAAGTTGGAACAGATACAGCAGGTATCAAAGGGCCATGTCTAGTGGATGAAAGTGACATTTAGAAATCAGAGACACAGAGGGTGCTCTACGCTATTGATGCACTTGTACAAGAAGACAAGTTCTGAGCATTCAGGAACAAAAAAAGAGTCACTGCTAAGAACAGAAAAGGTTGATCCCTGAAGAACAAGGGATGAAAATGTACGTACATTACAAGAAAACTAAGAGAAATGCTGTGAAAGTTGGTGACTTCTATGAGTAGCAAAGTAAACATTGCAGTGATCATGGTTCCCAGCTCCAAGCGCACTAGGCAAACAGCCAGTGTTAGTGCATTCCTTTCAATGTGTATTCCACATTGAGTGCCTCCTTACTCCCTTGTAATCCCTTCCTCTCCAATCTCTCTGCTCTGTGAGGGGGAGAGGTCAAGCACGGTAGGGATTGCCTACCTGCTTGTTTAAACAATCTCTCAGCTCTGCAAAGGGAAGGGGGAAGAAAAAAAATGGCTCAGGGATAGGACAGCACATACTGTACTAAATGACTGTAATGGTGAGCACATGACTGAGAAAGAGACACTGCAAAGATCGTAAATGTGCATCTTGATCGCAAAGTTATTTTTTCAGCACCGTCATAACTGCAAATGGTCACTGCACGAGGCAGTCAGTAAACACGGTCTATCTGTAAAGGCAAGACTTTTGAAGTAAACATGAGGCTTTCACACACATGCACAGATGCACACACACACACACACACCTGTATTCTACAATGTCATAAACCTTGCTTGCTTACAGCAACCCACATACCCCAGACATTTCCTTCACAATATTGCAGCTTTGAACCAGTTTCAAAGCCCCATATTCTCATAGTATAACATTCTCTTACACAATATCAGACTCTTCCAAGATTATCATTTGTTCCATGATTTTTTGATGCAAATATCCTTAGTCATGCAGCATTTTTAAGAATAGAATTCATTATGGTTTATGCAATTTATTTTCAGCTTCTCTAGGGAAAAAAATAACAACTAGCAAAATTAAAACAAGCAGAAGTAAACAAGCCAATGAAAACAATGTCTGTGGAAGAGCTGATAAAACACATCCAGTAACAGGGGAAAATTATAAAACAAGAATTTTTTTGCACAAAACAGTTTTATTTTGATTCCTTGAGGAATTATTATTTAAATAACTTTTACCATTTTTAATTCCTTTAAATGCCCAGGATGACTAAAAGACATAACAGGTACTTCTCTAAACAGGTATGATAAAGAAGACATTAAAATTATCAGAACCAGATCATTAGAAGTTTATTAAAAAATATCCAGGGCAACACATTTTGTAAACATATGTTATAAGCAGCACTAAAATCTATATAAAAGGTTAAGAAACTGCCCAGGAATTTGTGAAACCCAACAGAATGTGGATACTAAAACTGGAAGAAACTTGACAAGCCAACTAGCTAATAGAAATAAATGTTTTTGCATGATGATGGAAGGCCTTCAAAGAGACTGTAAAATCTGTTAGGAAACTGGTGGTAGAACCCCATTTTGTTGATTCCATATTTAGCAGGAATCACATCAGTTACACCCTCCCAAACAATGTCAGTTTACTGTAAACTCGTCTGAAGGCTTTGTGAACTTCTTTGTTTCTTAAAGTGTAGATGATGGGATTGGCCAAAGGAGTCAAAATTGTATAAAAAATGGAGAAAAATTTATTGAGATGTCTCAAAGTGGGTGTGTCTGGCAACACGTAGACAATGATTAATGTGCCATAAAAAAGACAAACCACCATGAGATGAGAGGAACAGTTTGAAAAAGCTTTTTTCCTTCCAGTGCTGGATTTGATTTTTATGATGGTGTTAATGATGGAAAAGTAGGAAATGAGTATTAAAACAAATGGGAATGGAGCCTCAGTGAAGGACAAGAGCAAGATGACATGGTCCATATGGCTTGTGTCACTACAGGAAAGTTTTTCCAGTGGAGTCAAGTCACAAAAGTAATGGTCAATGGCATTGGGGCCACAGAAAAGTAGCTGAGTAATCAGAAATACCAAGATGCCACTAGCTAACAGCCCATTGACCCATGCCCCAGTGATAAGCTGGAAACATAATTTCCTACTCATTATAGAAGGATAGTGCAAAGGTCTACATATAGCCAAATAACGGTCATAAGACATTGCTGCAAGGAGGTATGTTTCAGTGGCTGCACAAGAGCCAAAGAAATAATACTGGGCTAAGCATCCACCCATAGTAATAATTCTGTCTCCAGTTAACAAACTAGCCAACATTTTTGGCAAGATACTTGAGGAATAGCAAGTCTCTAGGCAGGACAAAGTCCCCAGAAAGAAGTACATGGGGGTGTGAAGCTGTTGGTCAGCCACAACCAGCACGATGATGAGGAGGT